ATTTTTATTATTTTTTTTTATTGGACATAAACATATGTATTTTAGAATACACGCAGAAATGTAATATCGTTCCGGTGAATATTTTCGAAGTTACACATAAATTTGAAAAGGCGTTTCAGAGTGCTTGGAAGTGCATATTCCAAACTTTAAACGGGTTTTTAAAAAAATTATGTCTTTAAAGTCGGTGACCAACATGACTCGAGTTTTAAATTTTAACACGGGCTTCTTAAATATATTTTTTGGTAACTAATATAAAAATTTGTTTACTCAATAAATATTTTTTTTTATATAAACAATTTCAATCCGAAATTTTGGTTAAAAATCGGTTTTTTGTTTCAGTTCAGAGATATAGTGGTCACCGCACAACGTTTTTTTTTTTTTTTTTTTTTTTTTTTTTTTTTTTTTTTTTTTTTTTTTGGGAGGAGCTCCCGGAGATCGGCTATAGTTCCTTTCCAAATAAACATTTTTAGTAATACAAGTCTTAAAAAACAGTTAAAGGGTACCATAATATGTGTAGAAATTGTTGGCTCAATAAATATATAAGTTTTCTCAGAAAAAAATCGGGACTAGAAATAAAAAAAAAATCATGTTTTTATTTTCTTATAGTTTTCAAGAACATGTCTGAACGACGAGTTTTCAAAATTCAAAATTATTTTCGGGGATATAGGTATTTTGCTGACCACACATCCAAACTGGATTTAAAGGGGTTACATGGATTTACGGGTTTCAAAAAATTGAATTTTAGTAAATTCTACAACACCTCTAGAACATTGTACTAAATTTTCACGTTGAACCAAGTAATAGTTTCGGAGATATAGCTTTGAGGACTAGTGCGTTCGAGGCTAGGCAGTGTAAGTGCCCTGTCTTTAAACGCGATTTTCTAGAAACTGTGTTTTCGAAGTCGGTTGGCTAGATTTCTCGAGAACTACTCAACTGATCTTCATGAAATTTTACATGAGTCTTTGAAACACAGTTCTTAAAGGCTTGGACGAAGTATTTTTTGTTTTTCAATTACAACTATTGGCAAAAAAATATTTCGCACAATTTTCATTTTTTATAAAAATGTCTGCAAAAAATCCAATTTTCAGTTTTTTTCCTCGTCCAAGTTCTAAGTTAATACTTTAACTAAAACACGTATTTTTCACTTTAGATGAACGTATAAGGAGTTATCGTGTCAACACTGGCGCATCTTTTTTCCGAGGGGTTACCGGCGTCACAGTGGCCGACTTGAAAACATTTTTTTTCAACAATTTCAGAATTTTTTTGTTAATAATGTATGTTTGTAGTTGTAGTTTGTAAAAATTCTTCATTTTTTATATAAGAAAAAACCCACGTAACCCTTAATCCAAGATATATTGAATGTGTTGCAACACTAGGGTGGTAATTTAAATTTTTTAATTTGTTTCACTTTGGCTTGCAAAATGCAATATTCTCTTCGATACGCCATTTCGCTGTTCGTTATCAAGTTGAATGCGATATAAAAGTATGCGGATGCCACATTAAAGTGGTATTACCACTATCCTTTATGCAAAGAACTTTGTTTTATAGTTTTTTAGGACAGTTTAACATTGAACCTCATGTATAAAATAGCAAAATATTGTTTGGCCTAAAGGAGGTATTTCACTACCAAAGAGAACAGTGCAACACAAATGCGCATGTGTCGGAGAAGTGTTGGCGCGAACAGCTGGTTTAGTTGGTTCGTTTTGCTACTCTGAAAGGCAAATCGAGGACAGTTGGTATTTAGTCGGTTTTTTAGCAAATAATTTAATATAACTTCTTTCTTTCTAGTTCTAAAAATAACGGCTTCACTTTTTCGTTTCGAATACTTTTCAACAAATGTGCCAAAGTGGTTTGGTTTCTTAGTAGCATAGTTTCAAGCCAATAACTTAGCAAATAAAAAAGGACATTTTTAAATTGAAGCAATAAATTTTTGCAGTAGTTCACTTTCAGAACGCTGTGAGAAATTGTTAGCTTCTAGAACTTATTTAAGTTATTGAAATACATTTTTGAGATTTTGTTTTAATTTGATAATTTGGTGTTGAAGCAATTCAATCAATCAATTTGCGGTAGGTAGATATTGGATGCCGAGTTCAAAGGTCTGAACTTGAACTGAAATTATTTTAATGGCAATGAGAGAAGGCGTGATCACGTGTCATAGTCTAACTAGTTCTTATTCCTTTTTTTCAGTTGCTAGGACCATGAGGAGTAGTCGTCCTTTAGGACCCGATTTTGAATCAACATAAAAAAAGAAAAATAACTGTCGAAAGTGTTTTTTTTTTTTCAAAATATTATTTTTAAGATAAATGGGTTTCCTTCTATTATCGAAATACTTTTTTTTAACAATACTTTTTTTAAATATACGAATTTTCGAAAATTAAAAACGATCCTAGCACAATTCAATTTTTGTTTTGGCTTCATTAATAGACTTACGTCTGACATCAACATAAATCTATCATCTATTAAAACCAATTTGTAATAATTTTCTATATGATTTCTACAGTTTCTTATTATTCTCAATATGAACTAATATTACATGGAATTTTAAAACTCATACTATGAAATAGTTCTACTATTTATTGGCATACGGCTAAAACATGTCACACTAAGGTCTAATGCAGCTGTAATTGACTAACCGATAAATCGTGTCTTATGTAGTTCAAGTTACATTGGCCTACACAAAACCCCAAACTATTTTGGTTTTGAAAACAAAAAAAAAAAACTTCAATTGAGTTCAAGCTCACTATTTTCTTAAAATACACAGTTCGAGGTTATACTATATATTTTACACTAAACAAAATGGAAGACATACGATTTTTTTAACCTAGAAAAACTACTTCTCCAGCAAGAGAGTCCCCGAATAGTCGGGGCAGTATATGGTCTCAAGACATCATTTAGATCATTAACAAATACGAGGTATAGGCACTAAAATATTGGAGGTATTACAATACATTAGAACAACAACAACAGCAAAACAATTCATACCAAATGCAATTAGCAATTAAAACAACGGAGTTATAAACAAAAATGGAGAACGAAATAAGTAAAAGGAAAATGAAAATAGTGTACATTGTCTAGAATGCGACGGCAATACGATTTTGCTGTTGGTACTTGGTAAAAAGAAATTGTTGGTGGATGCTTTGAGAACCTAAAATAGGGTGAGGGGGGTCTACAAACAAGATTGCTAGATGCTAGACTAGACTACATACTAGACAAACGAAGTAACGGGCGAGCGAATGCGTCAAAAGGTGGGTGGGTCTCAAGTATGTATGTATCAAAAGCAAAATGGCGAGAAGACAAAAAATATAGGTGATACAGCCTAAAAGTAGGCAAGAGACAAAATTTATGCGTCGTTGCAAATTGCTGACTTGCATATCAAAATTCAAAGTAAAACGTAAAAGTAAACGAACGGAATGCAACTACGTGTGATTGTACAAGTTTAACGGTACAGGCTGGATGTGTACGTAACAGCGAGTTGGTGTATGGACCGTTGATGGCGAAGGGTGTGGTGGTGATGGTAGCGGTGGTGGTGTTGGTGGTACGGTGATTTGAATTTGGTCTGGAGACACGAGCAAGGAACGAGAGAAAATATGAGGAACAACAAACGGACGAAGTAATAAAGAAACCAACAAACGTACGAAGGAACGAATAAACATACGAAGGAACAACGGACGAAGTAATAAAGAAACCAACAAACGTACGAAGGAACGAATAAACATACGAAGGAACTAACTGGTCAAAATCGGTTAAAAAAGACGGAATTGTAAAACGAAGAATAATTATTGTAAAAAAATCGCAGTAAAAGCCAAAATTAAGTACAAAATAAGGGTAAACAGCAAAGAGGTTAGAAAACGTCAAACGAATGTGAAAGTACAATATAAAAATGTTTAAAGTTTTTATTTAACATTTCATAGGACCAAAGTAAATTTAGCTATTTTCAGCTAAAGCTACAAAATGTTCAGGAACTACCGTAAAAACAGAAAAAGGGAAACAAAAGATGAAACTAAAGGGAATTTCTCTTCAGGAACTGGGTAGTTGGATAGTTTTCGAAAAAAATTTCAACTACAAAATTCAAAACGCTAAGGAAATGAGCAACAAACAATTAAATTTAAACAAGCAGCTGTAGCACGCAAAGTTTCAGAACATAAAACAAGTAAAACAAGCCAATACATAACGTTAACGTAACGCAAGTAGTGTAAAACGTATTTTCAGCATAATGTTGTTGGAAAAATAAATTTGTGATTTTTTTTTTTTTTTTTTTTTTTAATTAATACTATTTTAAACGTTGCGCTGTAACGGAACATGGGGCGACGGCAAAAACACGTGTGTGTAGTGTAGAGTGGTGTGGAGTGGTGGAATTAAGAGTAAAGTAAACGAAATAGTATGTTTCATAAGAAATGCACAATCGAACGAACGTACGAACGAAACAAACCAGAAAAAAGACGTTTTAAGGTAAAAATTACATGTATATATATATATATATGTATATATCATATAAATATCGAAATTAAGAGAACAAAATACTGTTATTTTAATACTTTCTTTCTTTAATGTATATGCTTAAATTTGGTTGCTACTTTTTCATTTAAATTACTGTGACTTTTAATACTTCTTTTTTGCTTTTTTACTTTTTTAAATTATTTTTTAACTTTTTCGACACAAAAGCTAACATACATTCTTGTTTTGGGTAAGCTTTTAAATTGCTAAGCTTTGCTGCTTGTTTTGCTTTGCTTTTTTGTTGCTTAAACAAACTTAAAACTGTTAACGGTAATTATATTATTTTAAACAATTCACTTGCTAATTCAAAATTGCTTTAACAATTTTTTTTTTTTTTGAAAAATTTCTAATATTTTTTTTATGTTGTCACTCTTGAATATACTTATTTTATTA